CTCCTGTCCTGTGTGTGTGTGTGTGCCTGTGTCTGTGTGTGATGTGTGTGGGCCTCCTGTCCTGTGTGTGTGTGTGTGCCTGTGTCTGTGTGTGATGTGTGTGGGCATCCTGTCGTGTGTGTGTGTGTGCCTGTGTCTGTGTGTGATGTGTGTGGGCCTCCTATCCTGTGTGTGTGTGTGTGCTTGTGTCTGTGTGTGATGTGTGTGGGCCTCCTGTCCTGTGTGTGTGTGTGTGCCTGTGTCTGTGTGTGATGTGTGTGGGCCTCCTATCCTGTGTGTGTGTGTGTGCCTGTGTCTGTGTGTGTGCCTGTAAGGGTGGCTGCTGCCATCATCACCCCTGCCAAGCACATCCTGCAGAATCAAAGGAGGGCCACGGTGACAGGGGACAGGAAAGAAGGGGATCCTAGGTGGTCCCAATGTGCCAATGTGCTCAAGTCACCAGAAACCCAGGCCCCGGGGCCTTGGGGCACACTAGTGCCTGAAGTTTTATGCAAAGCTTGGGGGGAAGGTTGGTAACTTCCAATTCCTCCAGATCTGAGAACCTCTGGAGTCGTTTTTGACACACACTTCAGGTAAACCGCCCGCTCGTGGTCACACAGCCAGTTAGTGAGAGCAGGATTCACACCTGTGCCGCAGCTCCAGGCCCTGCACACCCATCTCCAGGTCTGGCCAGCGTGACAGAGCAGGATGACTGGGGGCTTCAGCTGGGGGGGTCGAGGGGGCAGGTGAGCTGAGCAGTGGCCACCGCTCCAGGCCAGCTAGGCTGGGCTGTCTCGGCCACTGTGGCAGGGTCAGGGCTGGGCGCAGGCTCACCCTCATCTTGCGGGCTCACCTTGATCTTAAACTCCATCTTCTTCTGAATGCTGATCATCTGCTCCGTGCGGCTCATCTTCCTGACGCCCTCATTGCATGCCTTCACCACCTGGGACAAGAAGGATGGCACGTCAGGCCACCCAGCCAGCTGTCCGTGGCCACTGCCTCCCCTCACTCAGGCCCCACAGCGCAGAGTGACCAGGCGCTTTGCCCGGGCTCCTTCCTATAGCACCTTCTGGAACAAAGACAAGCGGGAAGACTGGCAGCTGTGCTGGAGAAAGTTGCTAGGAAGCCAACTCCAGAAAGCACGCACGAGACGACATCCTCTCCTGTCGGTCAGGCCGGGAGGCAGACCGGCAGGCTCTAGGCTGGACTCCCGCACGCTGTGGGGTCCTGCGGACTATCCCACCCTCCTGGGAGGCAACCCAGGTACCAAGAGGCCTAGGAATACCATTTCCTGAGACTTCTAGGGACTCATTCCGTAGAAACAAACTTCTGCACTGTCTCACAGGTGTCCAGGACAGAGCCTGGCCCGCCGCAGGCAGTCGGTCGACATTTGTGAGTACAGCGCCCAAAGAAGTATGTGTGAGGATGTCCCCTGCGGTGTTGTTTAGAATGAGAAAAACTCATCAGACTGAACATCCATCAACTGGGTGGGCAGGAAGTCCCGAGAGGTGCTGCCCGGCTCGCAGGTGCTGAGCCTCCCCGAGCAGCCTGCTTGAGGCTCCAGCATCTCCCCAACTAGGCATGGGATGGCAGTGCCGTTCTCCCCAATATTCAAAGGCTATCACTGCCAGAAAGACTTCGGTGGCCGACTGGTCTGGGTAAGGGACATGAGGCCCAAGAGGGGAAACGATGACATTAAGTTAAGAAGTCCTCGTGGCTCAGTGTGGTTTAGAACCCCTCCAATGCCTGCCGAGGATGGTTTCCTCTTACTAAGCTCCTGCTGCTGGGTGACACAAGGGTGGGAAGGACCCTGCTCTCTACTACATGGGCCCACTAGCATTCGGAGTCACTCCAGCACAGCTGCCAAAACCTGGCTCTCAGGTCCAGCTGACACCAGGAGCCACACACCTAAGACAGCACCTTAAGAACATACGAGCACGGAAATGTGTTCACCGACCCCTCCCGAAAGACCCTTGGTCCGCTTGAAAAGTCCAAGAGGAACCATCTCTCTCTGAGGATCAGGACATGGTTCCTCCACTGCTGGGCCAGAAAAGCCCAGGGCTCTCAGGCAGCGTCGGTGAATCCTCTCACAGAGAAACATACGGAACATGGATCTCGAGGGACCAGGGAGAGAGGCGTAGAGGGATGGGGTTCGGGGCAAAGAGCTACATCCGGGCACAAGAAGAGCAGGAAGCAGCCTCGACGTACCTCACAGGAGAAAAGAGAGACTGCTTCTGACACGGGGAAACAGGCAAAGACAAGTGTGGGGTCTGAGTGGGCTCCAGACACCTGCGATGAGTGGCCCGAGGCGGCTGATGAGTGATGGGGCCTGTGGATGGCAGCAGTGCTCCACATGGGGACAGAGTGCCCCCTCCAGTGCCAGGCTGCTGCCCCAACATCCACCCCCAGGCACTAACAGAGGGGGCTGGGGTGGGGGGTGAAGAAGGCTCTGCTCAAACCACACCCGACATCTTATTTAGCCCCAGTGACTTTCTTGATTGCAAAAGCAAATCTTAAAGTGAATGTGTGTTTTCTAAAGACACACCAAGCAACGAGGGAGCAGGATGGGGCAGGTGGGTCTGGCTGAGGAAGGCAGTTTGTGGGGACACGCAGAGAGAGGAGGCACACTCACCATCTCCAGCTCCTTGTGGGCGTCCAAGGCAGTGCACTCACGCTCAGACCTTTCCTCCACCCTCTTCAGGATGTTCTACCAGGCGAAAGGCTGCATTAGTTTCCATTTTTATCACCTCTCCTCCCCTCCCTTGGCCCCTCTGACGTGGTGGCCTCCCTGCTGCACCAGTCCAGACAGCCTCATGCCACCGCACCACATGTACTCAGGGCCTCACATGATGGACAGAGGGTCAGAGAGCCTCAACCAGGCCAGCAATCAAGCGCCCTGACCCCAAATCTTGCCAGGCTCCAAATGAGAACGACATGTGAGAGTCTCCCATGAGGACAGACACGAGGGCCATCACAGTCTCTACTTCATCTCAAACCGGAGCGCCAGACCTCACAGCACAACAAAGATCAAAGTACAAGAGGCAACTGGCAGGAAGGGGCAGCGTCCAGCTGTGAGGGAACCATCATGCTCGGTTGGGGCCAGCCCTGTCCCCAAGGGGAGCTAAATGCTTATGAGATGGATGGGCACCACGGGCTCCCTTCTAGGATTGTCATGTGAAGCCAAGTTGCAATGGCCCTGAGGCTTTGTTAACTGGTCTTATCAATAAAAATGTCTTTTTTTCCAATTGCTCAATTTTTTACAAACTGTTCTCACCTATAAATTACAATTTTTCATTGCTCCCTAAACTTTACATGGTTTCTGCCTAGCAATCCTCACCATGCCCACATTTTTTTGATCTTCTTTTGTCCCGTAAGGAGGTTTGGGTGCATCTAAGCACCATCCACCTGTTGTCGCGGCTGCTACGTGGTGCAATGGGCATCCCAAAGGTCCCAGGGGACTCCGCACATCAGCCCAGACCTCCTCTGTGGTTACCTGCCCACCTCTGCCTGGCAGCCAAGCCAGAGACATGGAGTTATCGCAGATGCCTCCCTGCTTCTCCCTCAGACACGTGGCTGGTCACCAGACCCTGTCATTAACTGTCCCCCTACTTCCAGACCCATCTCACAGCCGAACAGCATCTTTTCTCATGGGAATGAAAGTTCCATCTAACCAGGTCACATTGGTGGCCTCAAACAGAGGACGTGTGGGCTCTTTAGCCTGGCGCTTGCCTCCCCCACACCAGCCTCATCTCAGGCATGTCCCCCAGGACCCTGCCTGATGCAGTGACATGCGTTCTATGTGGTACCCGCCCCACCCCTAAAACACACTTCCTCTGAGCCCTTCCCTAGGTCCCCTCCAAGCCCACCTCCACTCCACTGACTTCCTAACAATGTCGTTTAGATACGGTTGAATCTTAGTTTTGCTGGTTCTCATCTTACAAAAGTTAAGATTTTTATATATCCATATGTGCTCTTTTCCTATAAAATTTCTAAAATTTTTTTACCCTCTGTATCATTAGAAAATGTTACTATCTTCTGTTTCAGTTTTTCCAAGTTAAAAAACAAATTCACATGTAAGTCCTTTATTCACTGGTGTCTTATATGATCTGGGTTCATCCTCAGTAAGTTTCCCGCACTGTCGTCTCCCGTTTCCCCTGGGGGGGCATGGAGGGGCTCCTTCCGACACTTGTTTCTTTGGTCTCATGCTCGTGAGCCCTTTCCTCCCTGGGCTCGGGCCTCCGTCGTTAACACTGCAGCTTTTGGAGCTAGCTGCCCCTTGCACTTTGGCCTCCCACCTGCCTGACCTCTGGCCTCCCTTAACTGTGGCTCCCAGGTCACCATCTCGGATTGATCCCCTCAGAGGCACATTCATCTGTTCGGTTGCCAGTGGCCTCCCCCTGCTCAGGATGTGGACACATTTGTGCCAGCACTTGTCAGGCAGGGGACACTTGACCTGCCTAGCTTGGCCTGGGAGGAGTCGCCCTTCCCAGCCAATCCCGTCTCGCAGGTTCCCCTCCCTGCTGATTCTTCTTGGCTCGGCTGCGTCCCAGCGCTTGGTCTCGGGGCCCTTTCTCTCCTTCCTGGGCAGTCGCTTCCACTAAACAGCACCTAGATGCCAAGAGCTCCTGCTCAACTCCCCCTCACTCTGGACTTGGATATTCAACAGCTCAAAGTCATCTCCAGCTCCCCTAGCTCCACCCTGACCCTGACCCTCCCGCCTGGTCTTCCCCATCTCAGCACGTGCCTCTCAAGCCAAGAGCCGAGGACTTGCTCTGCTGCGGCTTCCTCCCTCCTGTCACTGAGCCACTGATTTCTCTCCGGGGTCGCCACCCACTCCCCCACCCCACCCGGGCCAAGTGTACCCCCTTCTCCCATTTCCAGTCCTGCCCTCACTCCCCACGGCAGCCACACTGAACTCTCACAAATGTCAGTCAGACCAGGTGACTCCTCTCATGCTGAGGATAGAACCCGATGTCTTCCCTGTCCCCCAGGTCTCCTGGCTCTGCCTCTGTCCACAGCTCCACACTCAGTCCCATCACATGCCCTTGCTCACCACTGGCCTTCCTGTCCGTGAACCTTGCTGCCCCAGGGCCTTTGCACAAGCGGTTCTCTCTACACTGGATGCTCTTTCCTCCAGATCATCACCCAGCTGGCTCCTCTGTGTCAGCCATCTCCACTCACATGTCATTTGTCTCTCTTAACACCCCCACCCATGACTGGCAGCGAAGGTGTGGTCATCCCCTATTGTGTCACCCATTTCACTGTCCTCACAGCCATGACCACTTCCTCGTTGTGTGTGTGTGTTGGTCTCTCCCCTCCACAATGTGGCTCCCTGGGACAGGGCCTGAGCCCCCAGTGCCCGGGAATGTGCTTGTCACACAGGAGGAGCTTAATTAGGATGTGCGGAACGAATGGACTTCCTAGGAAGCCAGCAGAGCCCAGAATGAACAGAGGAAACGATGCGGAGCGAGAGAGGTGGGTGCAGCCCCGGCGGCGTGAGGGCAGAGACGGTACCTGGACGAGCAGCTTGAGGCGCGTGATCCTCTGGAAAGGCAGGATGAGGAAGGAGGAAAAGGGCAGCCCCTTGCACTTGGGGTCGAGCTCCAGCTGGGCGACCAGCTCCCGGAAGGCTGCCTTCTCCTGGCTGCGAACACAGACACGCATCTGTCATGCATCATGACAGACACAGTCGGTCTCTCGGCTCGTAGGAGCGTGGGTGAGAGGTGCTTCCTCCTGTCACCATCTCCTAGGAAGGGGACAGCCCATGGGCAAGGAACATGCATCCACTTCTTTCTGTCTACTGAAAATAAACTGTTCAGGTACAGGTCAAATAGCATCAGTGGCTTCCCATGCCTGGCCCGTGAAGTCCTAGCCAACTATGCTGTGTGGGACGGCAAGAATTCCTGTGTGGCCAAGTCTGTGGATTGGACGCACAGTTCAATGATTTCACCCAGCAGGAACCCGTGGCAAGGTAAGCCCATGCAGTGACAGGAGCAGCAGCAAGCCCCAGGCCACGAGCTCCTTCCGCAGGTGGGCCTCGCAGTGGTCGCATCCGCAGTGCTGACAAGGGTCAGGGAGAACCACGGTTGGTGACCCACTGCGGGCCCTGGCTGCACGGTGTTGGGGACGGGTGCACTCAGCCTGGTGCTCAGGCCTCAGTGACCTGCACTCACACGGCACGGTGAAGGGCCACACCCAAGGACTCCTGGGGGCTGCGATGTATAGATTCCTTTCTCCTCGACGCTTGTCTTCTCAATGTTTACCCTCAAAATTACCATCCGGATCCCCCAGAATTCCACTTTTCTTTCTCTTTTTTGGTGGCTGGCCAGTACGGGGATCCAAACCCATGACCTTGGTGTTAAAATGCTGCACTCTAGCCAGCTGAGCTAACCAGCCAGCCCCAAGTTCCGGTTGCCAAACACCGACTGTAAAACACTCAAACGCCCGGATACTGAAGCTTTAAGATGTCCACAGCTGACCACATGGCTTCATAGAAAAGCCCGGGAAGTGTGATACCCAGATTTACCACTCGGAATGAGCCTAGAACATCCCTGTGGTTAAACCCAGTCAAAACCCCACAGCAAGTTTATGAAATGGGCAGATTAGCAGTAAACTCAAGGGCGTTGCTGGAAAACCACCAGAGAGACTGCTTCCCGCCTATCCTTGCCCTGGTGGCAGCTCAAACCCACCTTTCTCATGTCCTGGGCCTTGTACTGTCCTTTTGACCTCACAGTCTGCTGACCTCACAGTCTGGACACAGGGCCAGGGGGCGCTACAACTGACTCTCTTGGGGTCCTGCTGGGTTAACGTGTCTCTAGTGACAGCAAAAGGCCCTGGAACATGCTGGGTTTTGATATTGTCACCAGCCTGGCCAACTTCTGGAGCCCGTCTGGACCCTGGGAAAGCAGAAGTCCAGGACAAAGAGGCACCTGCCAGGCACAGCCAGTGTCGCCGAGGAGCATTTGGGGCCGGGCCTCGCACCGCCCCAGCCCGCAGGGCACTCACAGCAGCTGCTTGTAGGTCCTCTCCTGGTAGGTCTGGTTGCTGACGTAGGTGATGTAGACGGAGAAGTGGTCGGCCGCGTAACGGTACACGATGTCGCACACATCAGAGAGGACAATGTTCTCTTCCATCCGATGCTCCAGCTCCAAGAGGAACCTGCAAGAGGTCGTGGTTTGCGGTGAGGGGCCTGGGTGGCAGAGTCGGGAACGTCTCACCGCACACAGCACCAGCCCAGGAGGGGCATCGGCAGCGCAGTGGGGCACCGGCCGCAGGCTCGGTGACGTCAAGGATTTATTATTACTTTTTAGGTGGATCTTATCTTTTAGGGACACAGCAATGGGTTGGAGGATGAAATATAATGTTGAGGATTTGCTTCAGAACGGTCTCCTCCGTGGTGGGAGGGGTGGGGACCGGGTTACCCTGCAGTGGCCCCCCTGCTGATCACTGCTAAAGCTGGTGACCAGCACATGGGGCTCCTTATGCAGCATCTCTACTTCTACATGTCTGGAATTTTCCATAATGAGACATAAAGAAATACATAAATAAAAAGTGCAGCAGTGGAGGCCCAGGGGTCTCCTTGGCTACTCTGGCCTCAGTCAGCTATTACCTCCTGATCCCACCGGACTGGGCTGCCACAAGGGGGTGGAGGGGCTGCAAATGTAAGAATGGGGTGTCAGCAAGGAGGGGGACCCACTTGGGGGACACAGAGAATGACCAGCTCCCAGGATGCCACATGTGATGTCAAGCAGACACTACTGCTCAGAGAGAGCTGCCCTCTGCCACGTCTCGGTCTCACATCTGCACCAGGGTTGGCACAGCTGATCCCCACGTTGCCTTTAGCTGCAGAACTCCACAGCCTACAGTGAAAATGGTAAATGGACCTTTTATCTGAGCAACATGACTGGAGCTTGCTTCTTCTTGGCAAGAATTAATAAATAGACATCTAGTTGTCCACTTAATGCTCATCCCATCCTCTGCACAGGCCCAGCTATGAGCACAGTTCCCACAACCACAGACTATCGCAAACACACTCCAAGAGGAGAGAAAGCACGAATCCGAGACTGCACTCTGCACGGGCCCACAGAAGCCCTCGGGGCTCTGCATGCGCCAGGCCAGGGCTTTAGGACAGCAGGATGGTGAGGAGCTTCCAGGGATGCCCTTGGGCTGGGTCACGAGGCCCACGGCAGACCTGCCTGACTGGTGGAGCCGCGGGTTTTCTGCATAAGAGGGTCTGACTCAGTGTGGCTCCGACCCCCGGTGACAGAGTTCTCCAGCTCACAGCTCCTTGTGGGACACTTGCAGCACCAGGCTCTGGGGGACGCGACTGCTGCCGTCCTAGGAGGGGGTGTAGATCTTTGGATTTCTGTCTTCATTTTTTAATATTTTGTTATGGAAAATCCCAAACATACAAAAGTAGAGAAGCCAGTGCAAGGAGCCCTTGTTACCAGCTCCAGCCATGCCCCAGGCATGGAGAAGCAGGGGTCCAAGGGAAAGTCTGTCCCAGTGTCCTCACCGCTCGCTGACGGCCATGACATCCAGGACGTTGGAGAAGAGGATGTGTGCCTCGGACGGGTGCAGGATCTTCTTCAGCCGCTCGTTCTCCATGAAGTGAGACACCAGCAGGTTCAGGCTCTTGTAGTAGGAGGCCTCGGAGGTCACCAGCTCAAACATGGCCTGTGGCAGGGAGACAGGCAAAACGGCAAGAGGGGACCGGTGGTCAGTGCCTGGACACTCACGTCCAGGCTGGCTTCAGCTGCGTCCTTGGCAAACAGAGCTGCTGCTGGGGCCTGGGTGGCGGATGTGCGGGGGGCAGCGAGCGGCGGTGAGGGGGTGTTGGGGGACAGCGAGCGGCGGTGAGGGGGGCAGCGAGCGGCGGTGAGGGGGTGTTGGGGGACAGCGAGCGGCGGTGAGGGGGGCAGCGAGCGGCGGTGAGGGGGTGTTGGGGGACAGCGAGCGGCGGTGAGGGGGGCAGCGAGCGGCGGTGAGGGGGTGTTGGGGGACAGCGAGCGGCGGTGAGGGGGGCAGCGAGCGGCGGTGAGGGGGTGTTGGGGGACAGCGAGCGGCGGTGAGGGGGGCAGCGAGCGGCGGTGAGGGGGTGTTGGGGGACAGCGAGCGGCGGTGAGGGGGGCAGCGAGCGGCGGTGAGGGGGTGTTGGGGGACAGCGAGCGGCGGTGAGGGGGGCAGCGAGCGGCGGTGAGGGGGTGTTGGGGGGCAGCGA